GGGCACGGCATAGCTGTCTCGCCCGCCCGCCTCAATTTCAATTTCAGCTGTCTATTGCCTGACTGCATAATCTAGCGGAACAAACACAAACACACCCAAGGTCGACATCCACGCCCTAGATACGCCTCAAATCATCAATTGTAACAGGAACCCAGCAAAAAGCGCAGGCAACAAGAGTAAAAGAGAGCAAATGCGCGTATGCCCAAAACTAAACAAATGAAATCAACAAAAAAGCCAACTAAAAACAAAAATTGCATGCACACAATTTTAAGCATTGCTTCTTTCACACATTCATTCATTCATTCATTCTTCAGTCTTCAGTCATTCCTTTGATTTGCTTCAGCAGGAAGTGGTTAAATCATCCTATTAAGCAATTTCATTATACATAAGTGTACACACAAGACAGACGGACGGACGAACGTGTCGATTTGTGCGGAACTTGTACTTCTGCTTGTGCTCAATCGAAGCATCAGTTGGTTTTGTTTGCTTTCGTTGATAAGTGTGTGTGTGTGTGTGTGTGTGTGTGTTGTGTTGTGTTCTGTTGTGTTTCTTTACTGTTGTTGTTTTGCTGTTTTGTTGTTTTGCTGTGTTGCTGTTGTCGGTGTTTCTGTTTCTTGTTTTTAGCATTGGCTTTGGCTTTGGCTTCGGCATTTGTATTCATTGCCGGCGCACAGCTGTTCTTTTTCTACTTTCCCTTTTAACAGAGACTTCAGTGGGGCGTTGTTGTTGCTTTTGCGTTACTATTCTTATGGCTACTGTTTATGTTTTGATTGCATAGCTGGCAGGGGGTGTTTTTCTTTATTAACACATCATTGGCTTAATTTTATAAATGAAATTGAGCCTATAGCAAAAATCAAAGTAGTGCGAATCTAATATGCAAATTGGTTTCCCAGTAATGAATCGCTCAACATGAATCGCTCGTTAATGAATCTCTTTATGAACGACGCGATTGGGGCGCTGTTAAGTAGTGCCCCTTATAAGAAACAATAGATTAAGCTTTAAATAAAAGAAATTTTCTACAAAAGTAAATTTAAATTAAGACGAAAAAAAATTTAAACATGAATTTTAAATAAATCAAAAAAATAGTAAATTTATTTTAGGCCGTGTGTGAGTTCGAGTAAATTGAGGTGAAGTAAATTGAAATTTTCTAGTGATTTTTTGCACTGCACTTAGTAAATATTTATTTATTTATTTATTGCACTTATTTATTATTTTTGGTTAAAAGTTTTCAAATTTATTTATTAAACATCTTATAAAATGGTAACACCTAATTTACCCAATTTTTATCTAATTTACTCGAAATTCTGGTAAATACCAACATTCGCTGCAATATCGACATAATTTGCTATTTCCCTCAATTTACCATCAATTTACTCGAACTCGCGCATGGTCTTAATAAACAATGTAGACCTTATCAGCTCTTCTTTTTAATATTATAATATTTTTTTATTAATTTGCAAATAATTTAAATATAATTTGCAAATACATATGTAATTTGAACATAATTTGCTCACCTCTGTGGTGACGAAATCCAATGATGAATACTAATATTTTCACCCATGGCAATATTAAAGTATTAAGACTTTATTTATTTATTTTTTTTATTATGATAAAATTTTTTTTTTGATAAGCAAATTATAAACAAAATATAAGATATATTCAAAATTCTAGATTAGGCACTCAGAATCAAATAACAACAAACTTTTAGTAAGTAGAAGACACATTTCCGTAGAGTTTTAATGCAAATATAATTTTTTTTAGAAAAAAAAGGAATAGGTTGTATAGAAAGTATGAAGCGTTTTTAAAAAAGTAAATATACCTACTCATAACTTAAACAATTTTTGTGAAAAAAAATCAAACGAACCTTAGAAAAAATAGTAAAATCCAGTCGATTAACGATAACATTCCAAATTACTGGAGTAGATTACTGAACATGTAAGAAGTCGGGATGTTATCTGGATGAAATTGACGCATTTCTCCAGTAATCCCGCTCTACAAACGTAGAGCGTTGATTACAACAACCCCTTATAAAGGGTTTCTCCTAAGTCAAAAATTACTATCTGGCAAGAACATTCTTCTCTCCTTCTCCCTTCACTACCAATTTTGGCTTAGAAATGTATATTTCTTGTCTAAATACTAAGCGGTCTATTTTCTAATGTTTCCCTTTTCTTTGATTCCTGGAATAGGGTTTCAGCTTTTAATAGTTACAGCCCAATGGCAGAAATTTATCCATTTTGTATTTTCAAGAGATGGTTTAAGTGGGTTTAAGTATCGCACTGTGGCTCTCGATGCATTCCACCTTACGGGGGGTAAAAAAAAAAGTCAAAGCAAAAAAATTTTTAAAACAACTTAAAATTTTGGAGCCCCTTTTTATGAAATTACATAGTAATTCCTACTTAAAAGTACACAGTAGAAGCAAAAGTAATGTGTAATTAATTAACCACAAAAAAGGAGATGTGCTCAGCACTATGTGGAAATAGATCCTTCTTATAACAGTTCATAACTAACTGTCATAAAAATATTTTCTAGTATAACTTACACTAGGCACGATCTTATATATGCATTTGATGGAATATTATATATGGTTAATTATATCCCCGAAGGATCTAGTGGTGTATATTAGAAAATATTTCTTTGGTAGAGTTTTTGCAGTTTACTTAATTAATTATAATACGATTAAATTAATTTAATAAACATAACAACCCTGATTACGACCTGAAGCAGATTTGTTCTTTAGGCACATTTGGTGGTACACGCCTTCTCCAGGCTCGTACATCAAGTGTTGTTAGCGCTTCCTCAACTTGGTCACTTCACTGGAGACACTGTTTACTTCTAGACTTTCTTTTCCAAATAACTTTTTCGTTGGAGTGTCGTCCTTAATTCTTACGACATGATGAAGCTGCTGAATTATATCAGTGTCGTGATAACGCTTGTACACCTCGTGGTTTATTTGAATGCGGTAGTTTTGATCTTCTATGGGCCAAAGACCATACCTAGAACTTTCCTCCTGAAAACTTCCATTGCTGCTTTACCATTACGTGATAGCATCTATGCTTCTGCATATTAAAGCTAGCATTTTTTATATTAAATCAATCAGACGCTTTGCTTTGTGTAAGCGCTCACAGGGACTCGTGGTCCTCTTCCCCATAATACAATTTAGCAGTTGTCCCCCTGGATATGTCACTGTATTGCTATAATACGTGACTATACAGCAATTTCTATATTTTCAGAGAAAGAAAAACAACCATATAATACGGGCAAGTATTGTCACATGATCACATGTAACAGTTGTAGCGATTACCTTTGAACGGGATGAATAAAGTAAACGTTAATTAATTCAGCTTTCGGAATACACTGATATAATGACAATTGTAGTGCTGATTAGGTTATCTTTCTCTAATAGAGGTGAGCACCCTTTTTGTTTACGTCATATAAATCATACATTCTAAATCATACAGCAATTTAAAAATATGAGAGAGGAAGATTAAAAGACTATATAATTATTCCCGTCCCTGTATACCGCATGGTACCGAATCATCTGAATAAAGTATGAGAGATAAATGGAGACATTTGTTTAATGTTATAAAAAATAAGAAAAAATGTGTATATTTTGATATAAAAAAATAGTTCCGGATCCACTATATAACCATGGTATCCATTTCATGGACGATTATAATTTTAGAGAACTCTTTGTATTTAATTTCTATTAGTTAGTGCAAAATATATCTTTCTTTCAATCTTTTCAATCATCATACATAACAGTTATCCATATCACCTTATTGAATTTACTGCTAACACTATTTAGTCTTGTTTGGAAGACTATGATATCATGGAAAATTTATGTTTGTGTTTCAATCTGTTCAGCAATTTGTGAATCTTAATAGTAGTAGTAGGTGCAGAAATTATTTTTCAACTAGCAATAACCGTTGCCTGAAAGAACCTTTGTGCAATGATATCTGCGCTGAGCTACTTTAGTTATATGTACAGGATTAAATCCTGTTATGTACATTTTCAAATATACTTCTCAAAAGTCATTCCTTTGATTAATATTTTCCAAAAATCTGCAATATCAACTAAATAATATAATCTTTGCATAGTTAGGTTAAGATCAATATCGTAATTGCATTTCCCAACTAAACCTCTGGATCTAATCTACAATCTTCTCTATTGATGTCCAATGTAGGAATTGGATTTTATACCTTTTGGTTTCTGTTTATCAGGTTGAGACTCAGAGTCACGGAGCATAATTTTTTAATTTGTTTCTACGTTGTTTTTACCATATAGTACTTCAAATCTGTAGCTCTTCTACTCTATTGAACTTCTGTTCTGTAGTACTTTTACTCTTTTCTATAGAACTTCTTAATATATTTTACCTCTAGTCCAAGTAACATCTCGAAGAATTCATAAGCTATTGATATAATTTTCATGGATATTTTTTGTTTTCATAACTTGAGTAATTTTTTCATTGCAGGGGAATCCCGAGAAGATCACCTTCATGTATGGTGGAACTAATATGCGATTGATGTATCTAAATTCGCACTTGTCCGTAACTGGAAGCGAATGTTTTTTGAAAATACCTCAAGACATCAAAATCAAATGATAAATTTCTCATTCAGAAAATTCGGAAGATTATGCATAGGGACATGTGTCAACTATATTTATAAATATTATGTATATAATATAATTGACCATGTTTGAACTAATGAAGGAAGCATAGTCATTAAGTCTAAGGATCTGTGATTAAATCATCAATGAGATTACAGTATTGAGCATATTTTTTTAATAATAATATATTGACATTTTTAAAAGGTCCTAGTAAATAGAAATCATTATATATTGGTATGATTACTAATCATTTGTGATCTACTTATATTTTCATATATATTTTATTGAGCAATCACTATCACCTAAAACAGATAAATAATATGAATTAGATTCCTTAAACAATATAACAGAGCCACGTTTTCCAATTCTCAGATAAACACATAAATATACCTTTGGAAATTATTTTAATTAATTAATTAAATTGTAATTGTGATTTGAATTAAATTGTAATTTGATGCTTCATGTTATATATGATAACATGAAGCAAAAAAAAATTAATATATTTTCAATGTTGTTATGTTAAATTGTTCTTTTTTAATAGTTGCAGAGCGGTTATCAGTTTAATGTCCCTCTCTTAATCATCATCTTCACTGTCAGAATGCTTATCACGTTTGTCACGCTTGTTACTGCGTTGACGTTCCTCACCTCCGTTTGATTTTTTACGTTCTTCGTTTGCTGTTTGTAAACCATCAGACCATTTACCACGTGGAGTATCTGAATATGCACTTGGATCCATGGGATCAACAGTATCAGATTCATCGCGTTCACGTCGTCGCCCGCTAGAACTGCTTGAATTACGTTCATAACCATGGTCTTTTTCTCTATCACGCCTTTTACGTGAAATTGTACGCTCTAGGTCACGTGACTTTTGCTTACGATTTGGATTCATATTGTTACCATTAACAGTTTCTTGTAAGGACGCATAATCTGGTGAAGACATCATAGCTGGTGGTGAACGTGGTCGCATTGAAGAACTAATAATCTCATCAATTTCACGTTGATGACGCGCACTACTACTCTCATCACTACTTTCTTCGTCGGACTCTTTTTCTTCGCCATCGCTACCACCAACACCAGCAGACTCCTCGAGTTGTCGACGTAAGACAGCAGCACTTTTTGTTATTTGTGATTTGGGATGCGTTGGTGGTAACCAAGAGACTAAGCTATCTACGGTATTGTAGAAGTAGTAACAACCACAACCTGGATCATACATTTCCATCCAACCTTTTGGTAACGGATATTTACGTAATAAACGTTTGTAACGTCGCATATAATCGCGACTAGGCTCGGTTTTACCGTCAGCCCAACGATTTACGCAATAAAGTGTGCATTTATGCCAAATATTGTATTTATTTGGACAACCTTTATAGCCTGCCACAGAAACGGTTTCTCCCATACGTGCCTTCATGCGCTCTAACCAGAAATTATCCTCGGTACGTTTGCGTGTCGTGTCAGTATTTTCATAATGCGATGGACATTGATATTCTTCACCATTTTGATCATCCGTTTCCATTTCATCGTAATCTTCGGCAATTACTTCTTCTGTTGTAGGTTGAGGTGCTGTTTCTGTAAAATAAAATATAATTTTTGGAACAAATATTAAAAGTAAAATACTAAAATAGTTACCTCGGGTTTTCTTCTCTTTTTGTTTCTGCACTAGCCCACGTTGTGCTAAGCGCTGCAATAAAGCCGGTGGAAGGCTCATTTTAATAATTCAAATAATATATTATATATAAATTTTATAAGTTATATTATATATTACTAAATTATATATTATTTTGTAATGTAGATGTTGTTATTTCAACAATATGATGCTCTTTGAACGTTGTGTATACAATTTAGTTTTCACAACATATGTTTTCTTCCTAAGAGTGTGTTCAGTGGATGTAGAAAATTGTATAAAAAGGGAAATTTTAACAACAAAAAATTCATTGTAAAATTTTATATTTTATATAGAAATCGTAATTTTATATAATATATTCAAATAAAAATTTGTTTTTACCGGTTTGATTTTTCGCATACAATTTAATACAAGATAATACAGATTTTGGAACATCATTTAATTGTTGAGTTATACTATGTTCAGACACTCCTTAATTTCGCAAAAATCTTAATTTAATCTTCGTTTTAGCTAAATTAAGTTGTTTTTTCCATTCAAGCCTCCGTTTTAAGGTCAAATTAAGGGATATTTCAATGCAACTATGCGTAACATAAATTTTAAGCAAAAGATAAAGTTGAGATAACGAAAAAGGGACATTTTTTAAAAATACACGTCAATGACAGTTTACTTATAATGAGCTCATATATGTGAAAACTTTTTGTATAGTAAATTAACCTAATTAGCGGTCTTAAGCCGTGTGCGAATTCAAATAAACTGAGGTAAAGTAAATTGAAATTTCTTAGGGATTTTTTGCATTGCACTTATGTAAATATTTATTTATTTATTTATTGCACTTATATATTATATTTGGTTAAAAGTTTTCAAATTTATTATTTATTATTTATTTATTTATTAAAAATCTTATAAAATGTTCACAATGGTAACACCTAATTTATCTAATTTTTATTTAATTTACCCTATCGAAATTCTGGTAAATACCAACATTCGCTGCCATGTCGACATAATGTACTATTCCCCTCAATTTACCATCAATTTACTCGAACTCACACACGGCCTTAATAAACAAAATTGTCTAAATGAGACAAGTGAAATATTAGTGAAATAATTAAAATTATGATAAAATTTTATTTGCTAAATCTTGTGTACACGCCACATATTTTCTCTTCTATTTTTATCCAAAATCCACATTTTTGCATTTTCTATTGTGAATATTTTTCTCTCATCGCGGAACACAACGTGGTACCTTCAGTCTGAGTTCAGACACTGATTGCATTGTGCGTTTTTGTTATATTTTGCAATTTAATAATAGATTCTGTTTAATTTGATGTGAAGATCTCAATTATAAATTTCAAAATAATATAATTTATTATAAAAGCGTTTCCAGATCACCATTTAACGTGCAGACGTGCTACTTTCAGTATTTATTTCCATGTGAGTGCAACACGGCGAAACAGCAGTGCACTCACTGTTTTTATCGGTCAACGTATCAACCTACGCAATTTCGCACATTTCAATATTTCAAACAAAACGAGTATTAATAAAAAAATAAAAAAATTTTGAACAAAAAAGCCAAAAAACATATCGTGCCAAACATACTTTAGTGCTTAACGGTGCGTTCACCTCACGTGAATTGAAAAAGACGAGGAAGTACGCAATAGAAAAAAAAAAAAATAAATAAAAGAACTTGGTTAATACAATGGCTTCGCAATCAACAGTAATTACCAATGGTTATATCAAAGATATGAATAATTCGCCCACCATCAGTAACGGTTTGAGTGAGGAGTTAAAGGACGGGCTGTCGTGCGAGGAGCTATTTGCGCACAGCGATGGCCTGACTTACAAGTAAATGACATGAATTGAGTTTTAATTGAAATGTCGTTTAGCAATTAAATTCGTTTTATTTTTCAATTAGCGATTTTCTCATCTTGCCCGGCTATATTGATTTCACTGCGGAGGAGGTCGACCTCAGTTCGCCTTTGACGAAAAATATTACTTTACGTGCACCGCTCGTCTCCTCGCCAATGGATACTGTGACAGAGTCCGACATGGCTATAGCAATGGCGGTAAGCTATTATAAAAATTAGAACGAATCACACATAAAAAGTTTCAATTTTCGCTAAATATGATTTATTTACTAGCATTTTGAATCATAAGTGAAAGCCTCATATTTCAAATTGCATGCGACAATGTAAACAAAACATGACTTCAAATTGTGGTTTCTATGTTAATTTAATTTAAGACCTTTAAATATTTAAAAAAAAAATTAATTTTTTATTAAATAAATTAAATTTCAGCTTTGTGGTGGCATTGGTATTCTGCACCACAACTGCACACCTGAGTACCAGGCCAATGAGGTCTTAAAGGTGAAAAAGTATAAACATGGTTTTATACGTGATCCGTCAGTTATGTCACCGGAAAATACAGTCGGTGATGTTTTGGAAGCACATCGTAAAAATGGCTTCACCGGCTATCCAATTACAGCGAACGGTAAATTGGGTGGACGCCTACTCGGCATTGTTACATCACGTGACATAGATTTTCGTGTCTCTCAACCAGAAATCAAGCTTGGCAGCATAATGACCACAGAACTGATAACTGCACCAAATGGCATTACTTTACCCATGGCTAATGAAATACTGGAGAAGAGTAAGAAGGGCAAATTGCCGATTGTCAATGAGAATGGTGAACTTGTGGCGCTGATTGCACGTACTGATTTAAAAAAATCTCGTTCCTATCCTAATGCTTCAAAAGATAGCAACAAGCAATTGCTTGTTGGTGCGGCAATTGGCACACGACCAGAAGATAAGGAACGCTTGAAGTTGTTGGTTACTAGTGGCGTAGATGTAATCGTATTGGATTCATCACAAGGCAATTCAATTTATCAAATCGAAATGATTAAATATATTAAGAATACTTATGCCGATCTGCAAGTCATTGGTGGTAATGGTAAGTAGATTACGATAAAATAATTGTATTGTATTTCTTATCTTAATGCATAAAAAATATTTTGCAATTAAGTTATTTGAAGAAATAATTATTTAGATTATATTCCTCTATGTATATAGTAGATTATTGATATAATGAAAGATATAATATTATGGCCATTCGTTATTTCGAATGCGTTTTATATGAGTAATTCGTTTTAGAGGGAGAGAGCACTTCTAATATGTTTGTTATTTACAAGATTTTGTACGTTAGTTATTTAGAGAGTTCCCTATATTGAGTATTTATTACTGAATTTACTGAGTACTACCTATATTTACCTATATTTATATCCTTAGCCACCTGAATATTTATGTCTATGTATCTATCTATACTTATATATATATCGATTTATATGTATATCTATATATCTATTTATATCTTTATCTTTATTGTCTTTATTATACCTTTATCTATTTTCTATATATTACCTTAAATCTTTATATATAAATATCGATCTATTCATCTATATATTTAAATATATATATATTTACTTTTAAATCTATATATTTATATATATATATTTACTTCTAAATCTATATATTTATATATATACTAGCTGACCCGGCGAACGTTGTTTCCCCTTGCAATTAATTTTCGTAGCTCAGCTGAGTTATATTTGTTGTTATTCAACTTAACCTTTTGAATTGATTTTTTCTTTTGAACTACAAAAAGTTCACATGTATTACTTATGTTACAAATATTTTCATGTTACTTCAAATCCTTATAAGCACTACATTTTAAATGATAAAAAGATATCAATTGATATTGCAAAGCGTCGTAAGAGCGATGACTGTCTGCAATCGTAGGCACTGTGTTATCTCTGCGTTGTATTCGTATATCTCGACGTTCAAATGCGTCGCCAACCATAACAACTGCAACTTCATTAATAGTCGGTGCATTATATCGGCCCGCATGCTGCCCAGATGGTACTTTGTCTGCTTTTATGACGATTGTATAGTTGTCGTTTAGCAGTCGGTTTGAAACGGTATTGAACAACTGGACCAACTGGTTGTGATTTTTTAAAAACGGTTCTAAAATACCCACAATTTCTTGCTCCTCCATCTGCTCGATATGGTTGTACTGGCAACGTGCGTTTATTTGCTACTTCTCATCACCCATGAAGTAGATTTGCAGAAATTTGGGATCGTTATTGGGCATCGGCATTAAAGAACCAATTTGGTGATACACTTAGCCCTGAATCTTAAATATTGATTGAAAATTGCGACCATTCTAATTCTGAACGATTTTTGTTGTTCCAAATGATGTCATTTGAAAGCACGAATTGAATTTGCGAATTTTACGAAAAAACAATTTAGATTGAGATGTAGCTCCAGCCAATAGTGCTTTCA